AGTTAAGTGAGCTTGGCCAGTGATGCTCAGGCTATAAACTAACTGCAAAAAAGAGGTTTTACAATCTGCAGGCTGTCCTGTGCTAGAGCAGGAAGCCCTGGGTGCCTACCTTGGCCAGCTGGGCCCGCAGGTCGGCCACCTCTGCCTCCAGACTGCGCTTCTCGTTCAGCACAGTGTTCAGCTCTGCCTCACTCCTGTGGAACAGCACCTCGAGGTCCTTAATGCGACCCTGAGCCACAGACAAATCTGCATCTTTCTTCTTGTAGCTGGAAAAACAAGAGTTAATCACATTTACACGTGGGTGCACACACAGCTTGAGCATCCGGGACACGGTTTAGGGGTCACAGCAGTGTTGGGCTGATGGCTGGACTTGACCTGAGAGGTCTTTTCCAACCTTCATGATTCTGTGTCTCAGCTGCAGCTACAGGTAATTTGTTATTACACATATCTGATCAGGGTACCACTAGGTGGCCCCCAGAGCAACCTGCAAACGCAGCCAATAAAAGGAGTCTGAACACCTCTCACAGCCTGCAGCTGGTGTGGATGTGTTGTAAATGCATCACCTAACAAAGAACAGGTAGCATGGACAGGCCAGGGAAAGCTGAGGCAGCAACTCTGCCAGTCAGGAGATGACAGTAGAGCCTGCTGTACACACAAGGTCTCTCCTTCCATCTCACTGCTGCACAGCACCTGGAATTGCTGCACCTCCCCCTGTGGAGGACAGCTCTGAGAAGCAGAGTTCACACGTTGGCCACAGATGCCCATGAGCATCCCCAGTGTTCTGCCATGGCCAAACCCATCCCCTGGGGTGTGTGCCCACTCAGAGCAGTAACATAACCAACCACAGAAACACAGCCACCTTGCAGGAACAAACCAGTATTTCCTCAGCAGCAGCCATCACAAGCAAAGCAACTCTGGCCACTTCAAACGTGCCTGTTTAAGCTGTTCTATTCAACTCACAGAAATCATCAGTGTCATCTTCCTCCTGCCCATCAAGTATTTGTCTACTTTTTCCCCCAGCACACTGACCTTCTGCAGCCTCTCTAGGTGTGTGTCACTATGGTACTAACACGAGTGTTCTGCTACATGGAGGAATCCTCCCCTGCTGCAGTTAAGCTTGCTATTCTAGTCTTGCACCACTAAAACACAAGGAGTGGCTCCTTGTCTTTTTCTCTTAAACCATCTTTGAATTCCTTCTTCTCCTTCCCTTTCCTCAAAATTCTTTTCTACAGGTGTGTAGTTTTCAGCCCGTGGTCAGTGAGCTGCTTTTGAGGGCCCACAGAAATAACTCTGAAGGAGTCTCAGTACCTGTACCCTTTAAGGAGCCCACAGCTTCCAACGTGGACAAACACCCCACTGTTTGCAAAGGGAGGAAAAGCTGAAAACCACTGCTCTAGATTCTACCAACCTTGCTTCCCAGCCCAAATCCTGAGTCTTGCTTCCTAAACTTCAGGTCAGTTGTACTGTCCTCCTGGCTTTCTAATTTGCCTGTAACTCCACCATAAGGAGATGCCCAGAATTCTTTTACAGAATTCCTGCTTTATGGGGTACTGGTGTGCCCTGCAGACCAGAGTTCTCTGTATGCCCCAGCACAACGTGCATCTTTTTCTAACTACAGAATAAATTAGCACACTTATTTTGTGATACACTCCAGCTACAAGGCTCATATGTTCTCTTCCCCATTTCCTGGTGTACATCTCTGAACTTGTTTTCATTTAATTGCAACCCTTTTTTTTAATCATTGGTCCAATCTGTCACTATGAATCCTGTTCTGCAACATATGTGCAGTGTTTTCAAGCTCAGCAGCTTGCAGGAGACATACACATACAGACAAAACATAACTTCTATGTGAAAGATGGTTATTTGGGAGTAAGCAGAAAGGCTGCAGAAGAGCTGCTCCAGACACAATACCTGGCACCAGGTGCCACCGTGCCTGTGTCACAGACACTCAGAGCTGGCACCCTGCCTGTGCAGGAGCTGAGGCAGATGCTGTTCCATCCCGCAGCGTGTGCTTCCCCAGCCCAAGGCTTCCCCCACCTGCAGAACCAGGCAGCACCTCAGTGTTCCCAGGGGGATGGGAATGCACAGAACAATCCCATGCACAGCCTGACAAAGCACCACAAAGAATTCCTGTCAGTGGTGAGTCACTTCTGCTCTTTGATGACACTGGAAGACACCCCAAGATGCTTTCACTCCCATTCATATCTGTATTTAGAATTTCAGCTGGGTTCCTTGTCCTCAAGCAAAAAACTGACAGAAGGATTTACAAAGTCTGAACCTCCTTTTGGGGGTCCCCAAGATGCCTGGAAGTCACAAACAGCAGCTGGTATATCTGTGGAAATGTGCCAACACTCCTTGAAAAACCCCAAGGTAGAGGAACCCTCCCGAGTTTTTTCCAGAGATTAGCCAAGTTTGTTCAAGGGAAGCATTTCAGTGACCACGTGGGATATCAGACAGAGGAAGCTGCAGCAAGACAGTCACACAACCCAGAGCTGGGAGCTCATAGCTCAAGCAGGAACGCTGCTAAAAGGAGAGGTGGATGAAGCCTATGTTCATCTGCCTCCAGGCTTTGCTTGACCTGGAGACCTGTGATGCAAGATATGAGTGGACACTTCCCAGACATCAGGACAGATCTCCCTCGGCCAGGCCATGCAAGTTTCCTCTGCTGGGACTGAATGCACCTGATCCCCAGAGCAGGACAGCTTCAGCAGTCTGGTAGAGGGTGCTGTCCCACCAAAGCAAAAGCAAGTGGAGCAGCTGCTCTCACCAAGACCAGAGAGAAGCCTGATGGCCACGTCATGGCAGCTACCACACAACCTGCTGTCTGGAACCAACGACAGGACTGCTGGCCTAGGGCTGGCCAAGAGGAAAATCAGGCTCAGCAGAGCTGGGTAAGAACCATCTCACTGCAGGGGTTTCTGCCTGACCTAGTTACCACAGAGGTTTTAAAGGGTTAAACAAAGGCCTAGCTGAGTCCTGACATTTAGTGCACACACAGGCACATCTTCACTGGAAGGGTGGTGAGAGACCAGCACAGGCTGCCCAGGGAAGCTGTGGATGGAGGCTCCACCACTGGAGGTGTTCCAGACCAGGCTGAAGGGGGCTTGAAGCAACCTGGTGTGGTGGGAGGTGTCCCTGCCTGTGGCAGGGGGTTGGAGCTGGATGATCTTTAAGGTCCCTTCCAACCCAAACCACTCTCTCATCTTCTGCTATGCACTGTGCACCACCTACAATAGACTTTACAGTGACTAACCCAAACTGAGGTGCCTACATTATAGCTATTTCAACTGGACAGTTAGTTCAGGGGCAAGGTCCACAAAAGATCCCCAAGGGCTGACCTGAATGAACAAGAGGGCCCAGCACAGAAAATTAAGATTCAGTGATAGAGCAGTTTACAGAGAAAACAAGAAACACTTCACAATAAATGAACTACTTAGGAAAAAAAAAAAAAAAACCCAAACATAAGACAGGGAAACATTTAATTCCTTTTAGAACCACTTAGATGCAAATGAAGGGAGATGGAGACTTAGAGCAAGTCTGCACTGGCACTGCTGGATTAAAAGCACTTTTAGGGCTGACAACATTCATATACAGGTGATGGACACACTGACATGCTCAGGAAAAATCTGTAACTCCCAAATCTTACCTCCTAAAATGGGTAACAAAACTCAATCAGAATCAAAATATGATTTTGCCACCACATGCATTAATTTTTAAAATGAAGTTTCAACTGCTAAACAGCATTTGATTACAAAAACTCCCTAGTGGGAATATCAGTAATGGATTACATTTGGCTTCAGCAGTCAGTTTATTAGACCAGTTCTCTTTGGTGCATAGTGAAGAGCAGGTTTTTTAAAATGTAGTTGGTACAAGGTCTTTTTCCAACACACATTGTAGCTTCATGTGTTTTCAAGGAAATACTGCTTCTGTCTTCCCAAACTGCTCAGGGCCACCCTCAGCCTTTATTTCTGCCACCAGTCAACACAGTGAACCAGACAATAACACTGATCACATTTAAAATTTAACCTTCCTTGGATGGGCCAGTTTTCATCTAGCTGAGTTTCTCAATCTAGTTTCCCAAGCAGCTGCCCATGTGCACATTCACATCTGGAGGGGTACAGGAGGACAGAAGCAAGCACAACCAATCCCTTCAGCCTCTAGATGTCAAATTGCCCAAATCTCAATATATTTAGCTTAGAGCTACAAACAGACTGATGTATGTATTGGTCAATTATCTGCTCTGACCAGTTTTAACAGCAGCTGAGGAATTCTGCTCTGAGAAGCCTGTGTCTTCTCACTGACCTGCAGTGTTTCCTAAAGGCATTTTCAGAAGCACCAATATCATCACTCCTGCTGCAAATATTGCCCATTCTAATTAAAAAAGAAATCATGGAGGACTTTCCTTACCTTTTATTGAACTCCTCAAGTTCTGCTCCCAGTTTCCCTATTTCAATCTGTAGTCGAGCCCTCTCCTTAGCAGTTTCATCCAGAACTCTTCGAGCATCAGCCAGTTCAGACTCGTAGAGACTCTTGATTCCACTCACCTACAGGGGAAAAAGTATTTCAAGAGTCAGTTTTGGGATGTTCTGCCTAAGAACTGAAGCAGCGCCAGGTTTCATACAGTTTCTTTGAAGGAGGAGTGTATAATATTGCTTGAGAACACTCCACATTGAACGTTTTCCATTAATATGCACCTACAATTAGTTGTGATCCAGTCTGAAAGACAATATTTCATTTTTATACCCACTGAGACATAACAAAACATGCTGTGTTTGAAGCATGCAGGTCTTCCAGAGACAAACTGAACAGATCAGCAGGTCACAGATTCAGAGGTCAGAAAAGATCTTTCAGCTCGAGTCCAACCATCCCCCATCCCTGCCAGGTCCCCCCTGCCCCACATCCCTCACCCCACATCTCCACAGCTTGGAAACCCCTCCAGGGGTGGGGACTCCACCACTGCCCTGGGCAGCCTGGCACAGCCCTGGGCAACCCTTCCCGGGAAGAAATTTTTCCTAGTATCCAAACTAAACCTCCTCTGACACAACTTGAGGCCAATTCCTCTTGTCTTACAACCAGATCTTGTAAGCACTCACCTTCATTTCCAGTCCTGCTGCTTTGGGAGATTTTTTTAAAACACTTAGACTACTGGGACACGGGTACGAGGCCCAGTTTGACTCTGCTGCTCTTGCCCTATAAAGCTGCAAATAATGTGAAACTAGAACTACAGAAATGTGAACTGTTCAGAGATGAGCTTCCACTCCCATCCTCTACCTCAGGGGATAAGAATCTACAGACCTCTCCTTGTCCCAGCTCCATGCATTAGCTACTCACCTACTCAGATTGCAGCAAGGCACTTCAAAGTCTTTCACATCTTTATTTTTTTTTAGAATGCAAGATTGTTTGAAAGGTCTGTCAGATAGCTAAAACGTCAAGAGCATTTAAGATTGCTACTCTTGCTTCCATGAACGGACACCAAAAGAACTCTCTGTTACTAATGTAAATTCTGAAACAGCAATCAGGGAGTGACAAGAGACAAAAGCAGGATCTACCAACTTTAGGAAGAGATTTCATAACAGAGCAGAAAATGTAGAAAGAAGAAAGCAAACTATGCCAGTGCCTAGGAGTGCCTGTTTCCACATCAGAGTGGCACCAATGACACTCAACCAGCTGGGCTTCAAAAAGACACATTAAAAGCAGTCAGGATATAATTAAGTTCCTGATAGACCATGTTCTCCTAAAACTTCTGAACTTATCTAAAACACGACAGGGTGAGGGCCAAGAAGCCTTAGTTTACAAGCTTATCACACACCAGAAAGGACCTGGCTGTCTCTCTGTGCAATCTTACCTCTCCTCTTTAAAGAATCAACCCTTTGAAGTTTTATTCAAGCTTTCTGTTGGGTTTTGGTGGTTGGGTTTTGGTTTTGGTTTTTTTTTATCTCCCTAGCTGATAGCCAGAACTTGTCTGTGGCACCAGCCAACACAGCTCTGTATTGGCAGCTACAAAGCTGAGGCAGCTCTCTGAAGAAGTGTGCCATGACCATGTTAAACTTCCACACTGCACTGCCCGGTATGGGGGCAGAGGGGGAGGGAGATTTGGAGGCTGTAAAGCTTTCATCATGGATAACCCCTGAGCAAGAACAGCATTTGCAGACTGCTATACAAAATAAGTGCCCAAAGGCCGAGCAGCCATTGTGCACCAGCAAAAGCTTTCATCATGGATAACCCCTGAGCAAGAACAGCATTTGCAGACTGCTATACAAAATAAGTGTAGCACCAGCAGGTACTGCACCTACAGCACTCCCCTAGGGCCAGCCCTTCAGCTCCCCCATGTGCTAACACCCTCGGTCCAGGGCATCTGCTGGGAACCTGGGGATGTACTGCTGTAGGTTCACAGTCAGTCCCACACAGGCCACAAGGACCACTCTCATCCCAGTACTCCAGGGTACACTGGAATTGTGTCAGAGTACAAAGGAAGAAAGCCTTTAAAGCCTTTTTCCCCAGGTTTTTGTGAATACTGCAGAAAAGGGTTCGTGTTGTGATACTTGCAGCAGGCAGTAAACAACTTGTGCTTCTGGGGCATTACAAACAATACACAGCTCAACAACACCCAAACAACATGCTGAGCAGAGAATAAACACTTCAGGCAATTCCTCCCTAGAGAGAATACAGCTAGATGAGCTAAAAACTGCATGATGAAAGCAGTTTCAGAACCTGTTGGTAAAAAGAGAACCAGAGACTCTGCTTCTTAATTAGAGAGGACTGATTCATTCACAGCACAACCAGTTGTGGTGGCTGCGTGTGTGTTCTTCTCCAGCAGCTTGCCAACCTCTTCTCTGCTCTTACCCCACTAAAAAGCACGTGAAGGAAGCACACAGGTCCAGTTCACAGTCCAAAGTGTTAGTCCAAAAACCACTTTCACTTGAAGCTTCAGCTAATGCTCCGAGCAGACAGAAAAACCCAAGACCTAAGGAGACACAGCAGCTTCCAGCACAGGAAGGCAGCAGGCAGCCAGGAGCACTGACACCCTCAGCTGCTGCAGAACACCCACAAAACCCTTGCCAGAACTCTGAACAGGACACAAAAAGAAGAGGGATTCATGGTAACACTGTTAGAAGTTTTAGATGACCAAACTGAACCAGAGGCTACATCAAGATGGCCTTTCTAGATCACCAAAAATAACGTCCTGCTCATTTTCAGCACTGTTCAAGTGGAGAAGAGAACCAGTCCCAGCAGCAGGCTCAAAGGAAAGTCAGCAGCCCCAGTTCAGCTGAACCAGCCTCCAATTCTGTGCTGACAACACTTGCAGCACAAGACAGTTACTCACTGAGAGCATCCTTCTTACCCAAGCACTGAGAACTTCTGCAAAGTGCTTCTGTTCCCTGAAACTGCCACCCCCTCAAATTCTGTTCTGGTGGAAGGAACTTAGCTTAGAGTACTCTGGACTACAGTCCCCAAAGTGCCTCTGTTCAGTGTACACACATGATCTGGCTGTTTTCACTCTACAGGAACTCTTCCACCCGCTCCCTTTTTACAATCGCCTCACATTTACTGCTTAGCTTGGTCTCCAGTGCAGTGACACTTCCAGCCCTTCTTAAAAAGGTGCTGTCAAGCCAAGGCAGGACCTCCTGAGATAAGCCTCACATGCACCTTCTGAACAGGAAAAAAAAAGTCAAAAGAACAACAGCCAGTAACCACAGCAAAAGGAGTAAGCTGAATAAATCCACCTGGCAATTGTGAGGCCCACTTGTGGTTCTCTGTCCCACCACACTTCTGAGCAGTGCCACCAGACAGCACCTACCTGTCCTGAAATGCTCCCAAAGAAGAGGAGATGCAAGAGAACCTCTTTGATCTTCCATTTTTTGTCATCTTCTATCAGTAGAATCCATCGATTCAAATTCCTTCCTTCATTTGTTGTTTCTCATCATTTTGCCTGGGTTACCACAACCCACTGTCTCCTGCTCCCCACATGTGAGAACAACTCATCCTTGAAGCTTGTGCCAACCCTTCCAGCACAAGCAAATGCCAAAGGAAAAAGTATAGAGAATGAAGCAAACATACAGTGATTCTTTGCTTACCTATACTGCCAGCTTCTAAAAATTTAAATAAGAGTCAAACCTTGCTTCCAGCCACCAAAAAGGAGAAGTCAAATACTGTTCATTTGTCTAAGCCTTTTGTAAATCTCTTCAGCTTTTGGTTTCCACAAGGTCAGAGCATCACACAAACACAAACAGGGGATCAAGACCTACTGCCTGAGAATTTCATTCCATGCCTTTAGTTTTTCTGTTGTGAGAACTGCTCCATATTTGCTTCCTAGACCTCATGTTCCTTCTCATCTCTTTTCCAGATCTGCTCCCAGTCAGAAATTATTCTGCTGCTCTGCTTCTTTGTCAGCTATTCCTTACACACTTCTGCCAGGCTCTAGATGGTTTAAAATAGCTTAAGGGAACTAGAAGCAGCATTCAGAACACAGAAACAACCTTGATTTACACTATGATTATTGACCACCAGCTATAAAGGAGAAGCAGGGATCCTACAGGAGATCAGAAAGGCAGAAAATGCAGTAATTCAAACAGGTTACAATCCAGGTGGTGATACCCCAGCTCTATTTCCATACACCAGTGGTGCATTTTCATACAGTAATGCAAGAAGCCCTAAGGGAAACAGCAGCTCTTCACCTAGTTCTCAGCAACACAGAGGAGCAGATTTCCCAAGACACTGTCAAGAACCCCAGTTGCCTCATTTTCAGCATCCTTTTGGGGCAAGAGAAGCCCCAAAAAAACTCAAATCTACAACTGTTGTAATTGTTTCAGCATGGCAGCTAAGGAACACTATGGTATTTGTAAAAAGAAGTGGAAAAGCAAGTTAAGAATAAAATCTTTCTAGGAAGTAAGATACTACATAAAGATGTAATAGCATGCTATAAAGAGCACATGTACAAACTACTTTAAGATGACCAAAACGAGGATATGAGATATAGTAAAGCACTTAAAAAAAAATCTGGGGTCATCCACAGACAAGAAAAGTACAATTTTATCATTGCCTGTTAATCACAGCACAACATGGCAGACCAAAAAAAGAAGTCTGAGCAACAACTCATCAATGGTGTAGAAAGTAATTACTCTTGCTCTGCTCATGAAAAACACAGTCCATGGCCCCAAGCTGATGAGTTTATGTAAAGAACCACCCAAGAAAATTCTATGAAAACACCTTTGATTTTTTTTGTTTTACTTATATTTGCACTAGAGGGATCTTTATGAGATTTCTGCCCTTAAGCATCAGTGATGAACAAACCAAGCAGGAACAAACCATCACCTTTAGGAAGTATTAACAGCTCTCTAAAGTCCATTTTTGAACTAAAACAATGTTACTGAAGAGCTCATTTAGAGTTCACTTTGTACTAGAGAATTAGAAGATGGGTCATACCAGTTTCTAAAATAGGAACTGCCCATCACTGAACCTTCAAGTCCATGGCAGCATCTTCCTTCTTGCCCCTCATTAGCTTTCTTTCAGTCTTCAGGAACCTCTTCTAATGATTATCTT